GCTTATTCCACTGAGCCATCTCCCCAGCCTTTTAAAGAATAAAGTAGGAAGTCAATATCAGAAAATGTACTGTTTGTAGTTGATAGAAGAAAAGCCGTTCTGGTATTTATAAGGGAATGCTGACATTTCAGTGTCCAATTGTACTTTGTAACCTTGGCCAAGTTACCTACTGTGCCTCAGTTGCCTCTTCTACCCAAGTGGGGATAAAATAATGGTGTCTAGCCAGAAGGGTTACTGTGACATATATATCTCTGGACAGCACCCATCACATTGTTAATGCTAGTTATTTATCCCTGCCATTTTTATTAAATATTATCGCTTTCTTTCTTTACGTATAAGGACTGGGTCATGCTTGGGGCCGTAGGAGCCTACGACTGGAATGGGACAGTTGTCATGCACAAGGGAAACCAAAACATAGTCCCTCAAAATACAACCTTTCAAGTTGGGTCCACGAAAATGAATGAACCTCTTGCTTCTTATTTAGGTAAGCTCTTTATGTAACCATAGGAGTTCATTTTTCTATTTTTCTTTTTGGTATTACTTGCTTATATTTCTATAGGCTTAAACCATCTGGTACGATCACTCTGCAGAGTTGGGCAGTTGAAAGACCTGAACGGTTTCAGCCCTCCGCGTGGCCTTAATGAGTCGGTCACAGAAGCTCAGGTCATGCTTCATGACGGTGTCTCCTGCGGGGGACTGGCGGCTACACGCACTGGAAGCTTCCCTGTGTCTGACGTTATCTTTAAATTCAAGAAGAGTTGGCCTGGTGGACAGGAACTAAGAGCAGAAAAGTGAAACCTCAACTTTATTTGCATCCCGGAGACTATAGCGTCTCGGATTCTCTTTAACTTCTATCTTTAATTTCTTTCTATGGCTCCTGATTTTGAAAAAAACAAAACAAAACAGACTTTTAAAAATTTCATACTTTTCTTGAAATAGTACCATGTGCTATCACATTGGTACTTTGGATTTATATCCAGCAGTACAACGTCATCTCATCTTCTCAAGTCTCGCCAGGAGCGAGAAGGCGTATGCCGGATCTGCTTCAGGGTTGGCATGCTCTGAAGCTGCCTGCGGATGCTTCTTTGTCACCGGAGAAGGATCTCCGCGAGCAGCTGAGAGGAAAAGGAATTGAAGACTCTCAGAGCATGCTTTTCCAACTCTCAGTCCATGATTTTTTTTTTTTTTTGAGCTCCTCTTTTCTCCAAGCGTTGTTCTTCGTGCTAGAGATACAGCAGTAAAGAAAACAGATACTTTGACCTTGAAGTGATTGCTGTCTTTGCAAGTTACCACTTCTCTACGTGACCTTTGTGTCCTGGGGGTAGATATTGTTCACTGTAAATGCCAGTTTCTTTCTATTTTATGAGGAAATATCTGCCCTTATCCAGGAATCTAGTCAGACTGCGGAGGTAGTGAGCCTTAAGAATACAAAACCTTAGGTTTTAGGTGACTAATCACATACTATAGTAATAAGCAGCAGAGACGCCGTGCCTGCTGACACTTCTCGAGCCCTGTGACACTGCATTCACGTGAGGCAGCCTTCTAGTCTGCCCTTGGCACACAACAGCTGGCGTGCTACATTGTTCTAAGTGTCACAGACCCTAAAGACAAAAGGACGAGCTATGATGTGCCGGTAAGCGGTCCTGAGGGAACACGGATCCCGAAGCATTCCTCTGCTGCACGCGCATCTCTCTCTTAAAACTTGAAGAAGCTGGAGGGCAGGAAACAGAGTATGCAGTGCCTTTCTCTGGGCTGTGTGGAAGAGTGGGGCACAAAATCTAGGGTTTGGGCTTAAAATTCCTCTCAAGCTTTCTCATTAAGAGAGACCTTCGCCTATACTCAAACACTTCCAAAATAAGAACTAGAAGGATGGAACAATTATGTCATCTATAACGCGCCTGAAGCCACAATCTGCAATCCACTGTTTGATTCTTAGTCCAGCGTTCATTTCACCACACAAAATCCTGCTGAAGGGCTAAGGAAACCCCACAGAGATGCTGAGTGTCTGCCATGTGCCAAGCTTTGCACTGAGGGGAGGACAGCACGAAGAGTAAGTGATGTCGTGGTCTCATCAGAGAATGAAGAGAGAAGAGCCACGAGTAGTACGTCATGTGCTGTGACAGAAAGTGGGCACAGAGGGCAGAAGGGCACGCTCTGGGCCTTCTAGAAGTTCTTCGTGTCCTACAACTCTATGGGACAGTTTCATGTGAAATATTTAAAATCAAGATTCAGTTTAACCCAAGGCCTCTTTTCTAGATTGAACAATGGCAGCAAATTTACCTAGACTAGAGCGGATGGCCTCAAAAGGGCATGCCTCCTTAAGAAAGGCTTTTGACAGTGTGTCTGCAGAACATTAAACAGGATCATACCACGATGGCCTAGAAATTTCACTTTTGCATGCTTAATGTAAGAAATAAATTTAGTATTAATATCATCTTGACCTAGAAATTTCATGTCGGGTGATCTAACCTAAGAAGTCCGGTTCTTAAACATGACAGATGAATAGTTCGTTCGTTCATTCATTTGTTCTTTCTTTCTTTCTTTTAATGTATTTGGTTTTTAGAGGGTTGCACTATGCAGCTCAGACTTATAACAATCCTTCTGTTTTCAGCCTCTCCAGCGCTGGGAGCACAGGTGTGCACCACTATGCCCAGACTCTGTGGCCCACTCAGCCTGCCCTGGGAGCAGGGCTGGCACGGCATGTGGTGCCAGGGATCATACCACAGTCCCTGCACTTGCCTAAGCTTGCCTAAGCAGGCACTCCAGTGGGGGCTAGCTATCTCACCAGCCCCCATGAGCAGTTATTTCTATTGGATTAATATTTATGACATTCGAGGAAATGGAATTGTCCTAAATGTGTACAATTAAAGGATAACCAAGTATATGGTAAATTCACTTCATGGAACATCCATCAGAGGGGGCTTGCAGGTTTGCTCAGTTGTTCATGTGCCTGCTTGGGCAAACCCAGTCACATGCAGGGGACCGTGGTTCGATCCCCAGCTCTATATGCCTTACCAGACCTGCCCTTAAGGCAGTCTGAGCCAGCCACAAAAAAACAAAACAAAACAAAACAAAACAAAACAAAAAAAAAAAACAGAAAACAACAACAAAAATCCTTCTCATTATACATCCATCAGCATACAGACGCTGTAGCTGCTACTGTTATAGCACTAAGGACGTGAAGCAGTATGGGGCCCACTGCCCGTTAAGAGTGTCTGAGTCATAGAGACCTGTGTTGGTTTTCAGACTGTGTTCTAGTGACCTTGAACAAATCACCCTGCAAAACCTCAAATTAATTACTTCCAAAATGGCAAAAATTATACTACATATATAGTTTGTGACAAAGATTCACTTAAATAATGACCTCAAATTGCTTTTTATTACGTGACCAAGAGACACTTAGCACGTAGTAGATCTGCTTCGTGGTTTTGTTGTGTGTAGCGTTGCACAGTGAGCACCCTCTTACCGTAGCGTCATGCCAGGTAAAGTAATGACCCTGGGATGTCCCTGTCCTGCTCTGTCCCATGAACATGTTACCATATGTGTCGTATGAGAAGAGCCTTAGGAAGTGTAATTAAGGGAAGGGTTTTGAGATGGAAAACTTTCCTGAAATGTCTGATAGGCCCCAATGTAGCCAAGCATCCTTAAAATCAGAGAACTTCTCCTGGACGTGGTGTGTGGGAGAAAGAACTGAATAAAAAGTGGTCAGGTAGCTGCACGCTCCGGGCTTTCAGTGGTGGGGGGCGCGAGCCATGGGCGCTCCTAGAAGCACACTGCACGAGGCGGTGGGCCCACCCACAGTCTCCAGGAAAGGGCAGAGCCCTGCTTGCTTTGACTTTAATGTGAGTGTAATCATCCTAGTCTCCCAGCCCCAGAGCTGTGCGGCCGCACACTTCCATTGTCATCAGCCACCAGGTTTGCGGTCATTTGTTGTGGCAGTAACAGCAAACCTATACAGCTATATGTAATGACAGCAGGTGACATTAATAGTATTTTAACTAAGTATTGAGTACTTATAAAATTAAAGGCACTGTGCAGCATCCAAGTGTGACATGGCCATTACTTCAGGAACGCATATAACTTAATTACTAATATAACACTGCAGTATTTTGGGTATTATGATTATGAGATTAAGTTCCTTTAAAACAAATGAATCTTAGAATCCTAACTCTATTGTTCCCCTAAAGCTTCAGTTGCTGGTTACTAAAGCAGACCTAGAGAATTTAAGATTGAGACATGTCACTCGTGTGAGAAAGGAGTGAAACAGGCTCCCCCTGCCCATGGGGCTCACAATACAGGACTCATTTGTCATTATGCCTAAATAAGAATGGAAAAAGTGCTCTTGCGAAAGCATGTGTGTACTATGCCTCCTTTAAGCTCAGAGAAGGGCATTTTCTTCTCGCAGCACGGACTCATAGTGATCCTCCTGTCTCAGCCTCCCCAGTGCTGGGATTGCAGATATGTGTCTCCACCCTGTTTTCACTGGCTGGCTCGTCCAGGGCCAGCACGGCATGGATGGGGACAGAACTCAGGTGCTTGCACTTGCCAGGCAGGCGCTTAGACCGCCGAGCTATCTCCCCAGCCCTCAACTTAATTTTGGAAAGGTCATTCACTCATTTGCATTACAGAAAGTGACAAAAATCAGCATGTACTGACCTCTCCCCACATTTTCCACTCTGGCAGGGGTGGCATGGAACAACAGCTTTTGGTTCCCCCGTTCTTCTTGTCCTTTTCCACATGCATAAATATGACTCTTGAGTGTTTATTTCTTAAGCAATATTGTGGTTAGTAATATAAAAATATAATAAGTTACGTGCTTGGAAAGAATAGTTTATATTTTATAATGTCTAATGGTATAAAAACTTTAAAGAATAATGAAAAATAAGAATGTGGGAAAGATCTTCATGAAACATAATAGCCCTGAGGGATTGTTTTCCCTTAGCTGTTGTCAGAATGAGCACATTTTTGCACAAAATCCTGTGTTCTTCTTTAAAACTTTGGAAAAAAATTAAATTATTGGCAGTAAAATATTTGCCAGTTAAGTTGGCAGTGTGGTGTTTCTCTAAGTTCAAAAGACTCTGTGGTGGCACTCTGAAGACTCCCCGCCTCCTGCTCCATGAACAGCCCTGGCTCTGGGGACCTCTCTTCCTGGAGAGCTGAAATCCAAAGTGGCCCATGTTACCCATGGACTTAGCTCTGCCTGCCAAAGAATAAGTCTAATTGTTCATCAAGCAATAATGATATGAGAGAAAGGCGCAGCTCTGGCTCTTCCCACGGTGGCCTGAGCCATCTGTACAAGTGGGACTCTCTTCATTTCACCCAGAAAGTCCCCCCAGCCGTGTAAACCAAGATGTGCAGATCCTCATGTGGCCTGGAGCACACGGCGGAACTTCCCGGGCTGTCCACGGTGCAGCTCTCTGCAAAGCCACCACCAGGATCTGAAAGGTGGCTTATGGAAGAAATGAGCATCTTCCCACTTTTACGGTGATGAAGCTGGATGGTGCGTGGGCCCTGGACGGAGGGCAAGTGCCCGAAAGTGCTGACATGCTGCTGCAGACGCTTCAAAATGCAGAGTGTGATGGCGAACTCGGGCTCTTGGGGTCCATTCTCTGGTCACTGAGCACGTCCAGATGGACAGAGCACCATGATGCCACCTATGCGTGGAGAACATGTGGCAGGAGCTGCGGGCCCCTGTCATGCCAGGATGATGCTGACTGGAGCAGGACTGCGTGTGCACCTAAAGAGGCCATCAGACAGAAGGAAAAAAGTCTTAGGGCTCAGGAAGTCGCTCAACATAAAAGACGTGCAAATGAAAAGTAAAACCATAAAAAAGATTCTCAAAAATTATGAAGAGCATGAAAACACAATGAGAAATAATCAGACATCTGAAAAGCTGTTAACGATCACCATTAATCAAACACAATAAAGACACACCAGGCTCTGCTGCTAGACAGACTTGAGCACAAAAAATATCATCTTATTTAAATAACAGGAACAATGCACAGTGCCTCATAAGGTGTGGTGGAGCTAGCCTCTAACACAGCTGCTCACAGCCGAATGTTCTGGAAGCAATTTGTTGGGTGCTGTAAGAGCCATTACAAATTTGATCCAGTAATCTATTCCTTGAAATTTATGTCCAAAAAAAAAAATCTCAAAGAAGAAAATACATTAAATGTTCAAAGATGCTTTGTTCCCATAACTATCATATAAAAATAAAATTAAGAACAAGTAGATTCTAGTATTCCATCAAGCAATGGCCAGGGCAATAAGCACACATTCATGTTCTAGCTCGGAGAAGTAATCAACTATTTAAAATTACAATTAAAAATCTGGTAGCAATTCAGAAAAAGTCCCATTTTCTGTAGTCTCAGTTATGTGGTTGTGCTCGTATCCACATAAAGCATAACTGATCCACTTGAAAATGGTGAATTGAAGGCTGTCATTTCCGTGGGTCCTTGGCATAGCTGTTCTGCCCTCGTGCCTTTGAACAGTGAATAGCTAAGGGCCGGGGGATACATTTTCAAAATAAAGCAGCTGTGACAGGTGATCAGAGGGCACACTACAAGCTTCTAACCTAAATAAGTTTTTTTTTTTTTTTTTTACTTTCTTTTTATTTATTTATTTATTTAATTTATTTATTTGTGTGTGTGTGTGGCCAGCTCAGCCCACCAGGGGGCGGGGCGGGCTGGCATGTGGTGCTGGGGGATTGAACCACCGTCCCTGTGCTTTGCTAAGCTTGTTCTAAGTAGGTGCTTTAGACCACTGAGCCATCTCTCCAGCCCCCTAAATAAGTTTTAATATGCATTTTTAGATTAGTTTTTAAGGTGCTGTACATAAAATAGAGAAACAGGGTCGTTCCAGCCATTTAAAGTGTGGATGCTGTGCGGTATGCAGACGGTAAGAGGACGGAAGTCCACTGGAGTCTCTCCTCATGTAGGTTACACCGTGAACTCCGCCACTGCCGCTGGAGACGTGCTCTACATCGCGGGCCAGCCTCGGCACAACCACACAGGACAGGTCATCGTCTACAGGATGGACGGGGGAGACATCCAGATCCTCCAGGCGCTGCAGGGAGAGCAGGTGAGCACGAGGGTTGCTGCAGACTGCCCTGCCGTCCTCTCCGTAGCTCGCTACTGGCCTCACCTTGAAAAGATGTAACATACATATCAAATTCACACTGTGAACAACCCCCACTAAGCCCTTTAGAAAAAAGTACAAGATTTGCGTCTCTGACCTCATGCATATTACAGTTGCTTGGGAGCAGGGGAAAGATGTATAGGTAGTAGGTGTAGATGTAGATATATAAACACATGTAAGAGAAGAGATATAAAGCACCAAGAAACATGAAAATATCAACAGCACAACATTATGCTCAAAAGATAGCATGATTGCTTTAAACTGAAATGGGTGCAGAAAATCTTAAGAGATAAAATTTGGGCTGAGTCTCCAAAGGAAAGACTATAAATAACTAGAAAGGCAATTGAAAGACAGCTAAAGAGAGAACATGGACCCTGGTGTGGTGTGCGTCCTGATGTTCCTCATGCAGTCAGGGCTGGCTGCAGAGCTGATGCCTGACCCACGGTCCATGCCGGGATTATGGGCGTGAGTGCACCACCCACCTGGGGCCGGCAGCCGGCATACAGCCTGGGGAGGGGCAGAGGCTCGCCCTTGCTTCTTGCTCTTCTGCTTTTGCTGCTTTCCGCGCCATGAACGGCTGCCCTCTGCCACGTGACACCCTTCCTTGGAGCCAGCGGAGTGGGGACTGAAGCCTCCACAAACTGTGAGCTGAATAAACCTTTCCTGTCTTCATGTTAGGGGTTGGGTACTTTGTCCCAGCAATGAGAGAAAAGTAATCAAGACAGGCCCCAACTGTGTGACGTTTTGAAAGATATACTAAAACATTTGGATTATACACCAGAGGCAACTGGAAATTATAACTTGTAAACATTGGAAATCCTTCTTAGGTTACATTAAATATTAAAAGTGGTATAGGAAATAATACACACAATAGGTAAACATCAATATTTACGCTTTTTAGACCAAAACCTCTTGCTTGGCTATTTGGGGATATTTTTGAATTGTAATAGCTTGCGTGACTTTCAACCCTTTTTATAGTTTCCTATTTTTTCCAACTGTTTCTAAGTGACACTGGCTTTATTCTGCAGTCATAAAGGGGATTTCTTTGGAAGCTTTCATGACTATTGCGACTCAGGGGAATGTACAGGAAGGACTGATGGAGCTTTGTTGGTTCATAAATGCCTGCCCGCACCCAGAGCGCGGACACGCCTGGTGCAGGGCACGCTCAGCCAGCGGGCCCGGCGCTGCCTGGCTCGGAGCCTCGGGCCGCAGCAGGCGGTGGCGCCACGGGGGGAGCACGGAGGGACTGGGGTGGGTGTGCCCATGCCAACGTTCTCTTCTGGAAGCCCAGAAAGCGTCCTGTGCTCAGCTACTTGGGGTTCACTTACCCCTCGTGCCGGAAGTGCAATGTCCCCACCGGCGCACTCCGGAACGTCATCCTCTAGGCTCAAAGCACGAGCTCCTCGGGGCCAGACTCTTGTAGCCGGGCTTTACTCCTCGGCTTTGTGTTGCTGTGACCAGACTTCTGAGACAACAGCTTAAAGACAAAAGATACCTTCAGCTCGCGGTTTCAGAGGCCCCGGCCAGCTGGCTCCCTGTGCTAGCGATGAGGGGAGGAAAGGCACGATGGCAGAAAGTGTGGGCCGGGAAGAGCCGCGCAGGCAGGGGTGGGCAAGGCGCGCCTTTCAAAACACACCTCAGGGATCTGCTGCTTTGCTGGGGCTCTGTTGGCCCAGCAGCTCCTTCTGCTTTGAACTCCATGCCTTGAGCTCCTGCTAGGTCAGGGCTGTATCCAGCGACCCAGGCCCAGCCCCGCACCCGGCTGCAGGCGGCATGGAGCCCGCGCCTCGTGAGCCCTAGCGAGAGCTCATATTTAAATATGTTCACAAGTGCATCACCAGAGAAGTAAGCCTGTTGTGGTTTAAGGGTGAGAGGAGAAAACCTAAAGTGAGATAGCAGCAATAAAAGGTGGAAAAGGGTGGGGTAAGATAGACAAAAAGTGGAACTGAGAAAGTAAAATTGCACACTGTTTCTGCGGAACGGGGAATTGAACTCAGGCCCTTGCCAGGCGTGCACTTATTCTGCTGAGCCATCTCCCCAGCCCTGAACATTTTAGGTGACATCTCAGATGTGTTATTTTGTTACAAGTATAAGGAAGTGTAACAGTTTGCGGAAAATTGCTTGTGCAAGAGGAGGACAGCCATGGATGACGTGGCACTTTTACCCCTTCCATACCTGTGTTCCATCTTTGGAATGCCCGTCGCAAGAGGACATAATGAAACATTTGCTTTTGAATTCTTGCCCCTTGAATTTTTATAGCTGACATTTATGAAGTTCATGCAAAAATTGTTAAAATTGCAATCTTTGGCATAACTGGGTCAAAAATGGGGCTGGGCTTTAGGTGTGCTTAGCTATATTTGTAGTAGTGAGCTCAAATTCAGGGGCAGGTGCCGGGCGAGTAAAGAAATGAGAAAAGCTGGCAGGTACGTAGAGACTCCAGGGAGTTGGGGCGACCATGGCTCAGGTGGCTTGCGAGTTCCCATCTAGCTCCAGAGGCCATCGTCATGTGGGAAGGAAGGCCTGGTGTTGTCAGAGCTCAGCAGTGTTGTTATGCTTGTGATTAAGTCAACTTTTAAAAAAACATGCTGGGCCAAGAAGATAGCTCAGTGGAAAAAGTGCTTGCCTGGCAAGTGCAAGGTCCTGAGTTCAATCCCTGGTACCACAAAACACAAAACAAAGCAAAAAAATACTGTGAGAAAAGTGCCATCAAAAGTACACTTCCAGGTAGGTCTCACATCACCTGTAGGCTGGCGCCTTCCCTGGGAGGACGATGAAGTGTGTGGCATGCCGAGATGAGAGCGCTCGGGAGGCATCAGCTGTCAGGGCAAGAGGATGGGAAGAAAAGCACGGGTCTGAGCCCCATGGGATGCCAGGCTTGGGGGAGAGAGGAAGGGAGGCAGCAAAATAGAAGACGGGGTCTTCTGTGACCCAGGCAGAAAGCACGAGAGCAGAACTAAAGCCATGACACGGACCCAGGAAATGTCTGTAAGCCCAGCATTCCAAGTGGGATAGGAGCCTTCCAATATGGCAAGGAGAGGCGAGCTCCGGGCCTCCCCCAGCAGGCCCCTATCATTAAGAGGAGGTGCACTCCCCCGAGGGGCAGCCTCCTGCAGTGCTTTCCTATTCCTCTGTGTCTCTGAGCTGCTGGGACAGGACTCAGCTCTAGGTGGTGGGAAAGCATCTGAGATCCTGAGGTACAATGTGACACAGCATTCCAGGACCTTTCAGCCCTGTGAATGCACTTATTTTCTATTTGCCTGCTACTATATTTAAACATTATGTGAGACCATCCTAGAAGGCTGTCTCCTTTTTAGCACATGGTATTTTCTTTTAAATCACTGCAATATCACTAATCTAACTGGTGGAAAACACAACCAGTTATAAGGTAAAATTTAAAGGGAATCACGTCTGTTACTCTCAAGCTTCGAGATTTATACGGCTGGCTCATTCTCAAGGATGAACTAGTGTTTTTAACCCAGAGGTTGCTCAGCCACCTCCGGTTCTCTGTGTCATTGCCTTTGCCACCCGGATCTTGCACCCTCTTCTGGATTGCCAGAGGCAAGCCAAATGCAGGCTTTTAGCTTTCTTCATGTCTCCTGGCGTTCATCAGACTGTCTTGTTCTGTCTTGTGCCCTAGATTGGGTCCTACTTTGGAAGTGTTTTAACAACAAGTGACATTGATAATGATTCTAACACTGACATCCTTCTCGTTGGAGCCCCCATGTACATGGGAACAGAGAAAGAAGAACAAGGAAAAGTATACGTGTACACCCTGAACCAGGTAACGGGAGCTGAGCTTGGCAGGAATCCAGGCACATTTTTCCGCCCATCCCATGTTGAACAGTGCAGTTCTACTTTTTCCTCGCTATAGAAATGAATGCAAAGAAGTTGTCACGGTCTATTCACACTACAGAAGCCTTGGTATCAGAAGGAAAACTTAGAATTCGAATGTCTTTCTAGTACTTAGCTGTGTTCTACTTGTAAATGTGCAGTGTATTTTATGCCAGGGCATATGAGGGAAGAAGAAAGATCTCACCAGGTGCCAACACACCCAGGCTGGCACCATTCACGAGCTCACCTCTGGAGGGGGCAGCCTTAGCAGCTGGGGGCCTGGCCGGCACAGAAGTAATTTCAAAGCAAAAACGTCAGCTACTTCCCAGGAACCACTGTGTTCTTTGGCACACTTCATTGGGCTGAAGTGAAATTCCATTCTTGACAATAGACATCATTTGTAGGTGAAATGTTGGTTTCGTCATTATGAAATTATGTTGCTATTCACAGCAAAGCCAGTGTTTATTGCCTTAGCATTTTTAAATCCTTAGACTTTCTCTTGTTATTTAAAAGCATAAATTGTATCTCTTTCTTTCCATCATATGTTGCTTCTCCTGTGAACTTTTTTGGAAGTCTTATTCCACCCCCCAGTACACGCACAAGTGTGTTTTTTCCATCGTTTCTAGTGCTTTTGTCCTTGCTGAACTGTTGCCTTCCCCTCTTCACTCTAGGTAATTGTAGAGAATATTTGCTTTTTGAACAAAGTAAACTTTCTCTTGTCTCTTAGAGGAGAATAGAGGGAGTTTTATCAAAGAAGCATGTATTGGGTAGAGAAGGGAGGATGGCATTGCTGAGTGATTCAGAAGTTAAACTCTTTAAGGTTAACAAGACAATGCTGGGCTGGCCAGATAGCTCAGCGGGCTAAAGCACCTGCTTAGACAAATTGCAGGGACCAGGGTTCAATTCCTGGAGTGCCATACTGGCCTGCCCCTGGGGCGCGCTGAGACAGCGATTGAGACTGGGCATGGTGGCAGGCACCTGTAATCCCAGTGCTTGGGAGGCGGAAAAGAGGAGAATCACTAGGAGTCCGATCT